GTCATTACATTGGGTTAATTTAAAGCTCTCTTTGTTGGTGTTCTGCTCTAAGGCCAGTCAAAAAGTAGGGGTCCTAGTGCGGCTACGCAATTTGATACCTTGTAATGCTAAACTATCACTTTACAGGTCTTCAATTCTGCCCCATCTAACCTACTGTCATCTAGTATGGTACTTATGTAATGCATCGGATCGGAGAAAGCTTGAGCGGATTCAGAAGCGAGCACTTATTGCGGTGTACAAAACTAGATCAGCGTCCTATCAAGAACTGCTAAGTCGCGCCAAATTACTGACGTTGTACAATCGGCGCCTAGAAGACATTGCCACTTTGATGTTTAAAGTTAAGCACAGTCTCGTATCCGAGAATACTTCTGACTTATTTAATATAAAGAACACTCCGTATAATTTATGGAACAGTGACTTCGAACTGCAATGATTCGAAACTGTAAGATTTGGTAGGAATTCTATTAAATATATGGGACCTCTCATCTGGTCGAAGTTACCAAGACACCCAAGAACGATAGAAACTCTAAATTCGTTCAAGAAGAACATATTAAGAAAAGTCGACCTTTCAACTCTCGCTGAAATTTAAAACTTAACTAAATAACTTTATAATCTTTTTAATTATCTACTGTAAATAACTATTATCTACATATGCAAATGTACTTGATTTTTAAATTTTTTAGTGTCCCCCATTAGCTTATAGCTAAAAACATAGACACTTAAATAAAGTTTTTCATTCATTCATTCACCTTATGTATAGATTACGGTAGTTCATTAGCATAGTTGAATACGTTGCAAGGTTGTTATAAAAAGTGAAAGTTACGACTGATTTTTTCTAACTAAAACAACCGAACTTAACTTAAATATTTGATAAATCATAATTTTTGATGAGTTTTCAGTTTCAATCACCAATTTGCATTAGGTGGTCTTCCAGTTCAGTGCACACTCGGTCATCTGCGATAGCCAATGAAAAAACAAGCAGTGACTTTTTAGCCTTATCGCTTTTGTGTGATATCAAGGAGCAATTAATCATACTTGGAGGCAAACTTGGTGCTATATCCAATCCTATGCAGTCTTTAATTTGTATCATTACTTAATCTTACCATAAAGAAAAAACATCTCGGGCAAGATTAATTGGTTGAAATGGTCAACCATGGCGACTCAATGGTCAAGGGCGACTCATTTCACACATCTTGTTTGAGTAAACAACCGTGCTATCAACTCGAGAGAAATATTTCCAAATTTCCTTGGATACGCCTTAGGAGCATAGAGGAGGTGTGATGTACGTGTGATCATGAGTGCGTCCAGTCCTTTCTGACATTTATTTTTGGAGTGGATAATATTGCTAAGTCACGCCTCGATGCTCCCGAAACGAAAAAGAAGTTGGAGTTTGTTGACTCAAGGTTTGGACTATTTCAAATTAACGCAATAACTTGCAGAAATGGTTAAGTATACTTGCATATGATGAGAGTTCAAAAGCCGTAAATGTTTCCTTACACATGTACAGGGCTGAAACCTTTTGTGTAAGCCTTAAGATTTGGCATTATTTGTCATTTCGTTTTCTTTCAGCGTTCTTACCACGGAATATATACAAGCACGAGACATTCATTTGCCTGGAAGGTAAAAAATGTATATAATAATAATAATAAATATATATCGAGTGGAGACTGAAAATATGACGATGATTTTCATTTAGGTGATCCAGAAACCAAATAGGGGAATGAATACCCCTTTGGGGCTTTAATCGTTCGGCAATCCTCCAAGACATCTGAAAATCTTTACTGTTTTCTGAGACTTTAGAAGAAACTGGAGTTAACCAACCCAGTGCTGCACACTGTTTGCACATGGACACTCCAATATAGGGTACGTTTGTGCTCCATTTTAACTTTAAGGCTCCACGATGTTCTTACGTACCGCATTACTCCTGGAAGACCTGACAAATGGAATCTAAAAATAAATTTAGAAATAAAAGCTTTGTACAGGAAATTAATTCTCTTAGCCCTATCATCTGCCAGTACACATAGTCTTTTTCCTAAACAGAAAAATTTTTTCTCTCTTTATTGTTAGCGCACCCCGCGCCTTACCTCCGCCTCCACCACCCCCACCCCCTCTCCGCCCACCAAAAGAGTTCAGTTGGATGGACTGTTGCTTCAAGTGTGATGCTGAATATGAATGGTACCAACCATGTGGAAAGGGTGAGTTATTTTAAAAGATGCTGGCTTGACACGTCACCTGACCCTTTTGGCCCCAGAAAACATAAAGTCTGAGTTTTTTAACGACGACACTGTCAAACCATTCTTTCTCATCAACCCTTGAGTCACTCCTCCCTTCCTACCCCAAGAAACAACGAGTCGAGTTTTTCAGTCGCGGATGAATTGTGATTGTTTTTGTTATTAGGACCACGAACGGCCACTTAACACCTTGGTCCAGTACCAAATCGTTGAAGGTTCACCGATGGAAAAAAAAAGATGATTTTTATGGCATTTCCAGCGTACATCATAAGCATTATCGCATGACCAGTTCCATTCTTTTGACCTAATTCCATGCATACAATAGTCAAAATTTATGTGGCCTATATGAGTTCAGTTAAATGTGGCCTACAAACTGGAAATAGGAAAGAAGGACGGTCTGGGAATAATTAAAGTAAATTTTTATGTCGTGCTTAGTCAAATCCTGGCCTTAATTGCAATCAGTGCGTTCTTTAATCTCATTTCCTTTATCGTGATTTTAATTGAAATTTTTCCTTCCCGTTATTTTGCGCGCATCTGCATCCTGTTGTCGCTGTTTGTGCTATACGTGTTTGGTGGAGCTCTTCTAGTCTCCTATGCGATGTTAAGTTGTCTTTTTGCCTGCTGCGAAGACAATTGAAAAATCCCCTGTTTTGGAGACCTCGCCGTAAATAAACGCAACAAAATTAGATCGTGGAAGTTAAATACTTGCTTTTACTTCATTTCTATAGCCCGATTTTACAAGAAAAATAGTTTTAGTAGTGTCGTAGAAATGATAGGGTCTGTGAGAAATTTTACCTACTCGCTTTGTATCTGACCATTTACTCAAGCTGTAATGGAACTGGTGGCTTTCAAGTGTTACACCATCAGATGATTTTATTTAAGAACATTAAAGAAAAGTTAAGAGGCGTAATCTGAGAACATTAACTGAGTCGTTAAGATAAGAGTTATAGACTGCACACAGTCTACACAGAGGGGAGGGGACCACAGACGGAGCCTGAATCGAAAGATGCACCAATCACAGCCGTGGCATTTCATCCAATCACAGCTGGGCGCAATAGCAGATAGGAAACGCGTACTTAGTCGACTTCTAGTTGTACTTCAAGCAGAACCAACGTTTGTACAAACAATCTGTATATGACAATTACAGTATAAGTTTTGATCAATATATATGTACCCCAGCGTCCCTTAGTGTTGGATTCAGCACTGATGTCGTAGGAAGAAGATAATCGCTTTGAAGGATTAAAAATTTTGAAGAGAAGAGTTAAAATAAACTGTGTTTTGTAGAGAAATTGCCAGGGGCAAACCTTGCACTCAAAGAATTAATATAAAAAGCTAATTTCAAGCTAGGAAGGATTGTCGCACTCTTTTGTTATCATTTTTATTCATTACATTAAAAAAATCATATGACAGAAATTGACTTGATAAGCTATCTGTAAATTGGTTTGATAAGTAGATTGCTGCAATAAGTGAGTCTCGGTGACACTTTTTCAAGGTCTTTACTCTTTCATCCTAACATCAGTATCTATATTCTCCATACTATTCTCTATACATTTCCTCTGGTACTGAGAAAGAGTTTTCGTTGAAGAATCAAAGTTTCTTAGGTTGGCGATCATTTCCTACATTCTCATGATCTCAGTGAATGATTCAGCTGAATCACTGAAAGGAGAAATTAGATGCTGGTCACTCTTAGCCGGTTTAAAAGGTTAAGGCTATCAGAGAGATGATTGTTTACCAGTTTATTTCCTTAGTAGGCTTGGTACTTTTTGGCTGGAACAATCATGCAGTAACAAATGTTGTACCCAGTTTCGAAAAACTTACTGAATCAGGATATTGATACGAACTATGCGTAAGCATTTCAGTTGAAAATAAAAGCTGGAAATTGACCTGATGTTGCCGAGGTGTGATTGCCTATAACAATTGGTTCACTGAAATCAAATTGCACTCCTACTGCTCCAAGAGACTTTCGCCCATCTTTTCCGTAGCACGACACACGATCGTGTGTCGAATACTTTAACCCTCTATTGTAAACTTCGATTAATTAAACTACNAATTTCGACTATTAACTTTTTACTCTTTAACATCTGTAACCATATTCTCCATACTGTTCTATACACTTCCCATTGTACTGACAAGGAGACTTTATTTAACAATCAAGAGCTTCTTCAATCGACTATCACCTCATATTCTCATAACCCCAACTCAGGGGACGGGGAACTGGGAACAGTCATTATGTATAGCCTAGTGGGGGGAGGGTTAGTCGATTTTCTGTAGAGCCCCCTTAATATTCCGTTGGCGACGGCTGATTCCCCTCCGTCGTCTCTGAAAACCATATGATCTCCCCCTCAACCCCACCCCACCCCCCTCCGAGCGATATTTGACGACTGGTCCTTAACGTTGGAGTCAGCGGTTATGCTGTGAGGAGAAGTTAGAAGGTGGTCCCTCTTAGAGATTACAGGGTTTAAGAGAAAGGGTTGAAAAAACTGTGCTTTGTAGAGAAATTAACAGCGGTAAACCTCGTACTCGATGATTAGATATGATTGTGAATAATTTCGAATTCAAACCAGGAAAGATTGTCGCACTCTTCTGTGATCATTTTTCTTCATCATAACAAAAAGTTATATGAAAAATTAACATGACAAACTATTTGATAAGCTGCTGTGCTAAAAAATAACTGCGTCTCGGTCTTAAACCTATCATAGAGATGATTATTTATCAGTTGATTCCGTTGCTAGGATTTTGATAGCAACTACGTTTAGATACAGAAACATTTCAGTTGAAAATAAAAGCTGGAAATTGACCTGATTTTACCGAAGTGCGATTAACTTCATTCTCTATAGAGCTTAAAGTGAATTGTACGCCATCTGCTCTAACACAGGCACGTCCACAACTTCCATACCATGACGCAGGTCCCTTGATAAGTGACTCTAGCTTATACTGGTAATTTGCTTCTAAGCAAACCGGTTTATCAAACAAAACATCAAAGCCGTAATAACAGTTGTTCTCGTCCTTTTCTGAAGTGAATGTTCCTGATCGTTTGACAACGGTAAAGTTAGTTGCTGTAATTTTGACTTCAGTAGAAACTGTGTATTTGCTTCCGCCAGGGGAACCAAAATGCTGAACTCCAAGTAACTTAATAGGCTTGTTTACGGAGAAGTGAACAATGTCAGGTAAGCCCTCATTGTATTTCCAAATTATATATGGCTCAGAATAATTGTTAAATCTGCTGACTCGAAATCTAGGAAACTCCTTTCTTGCTCCCTGCAAAAATGGTAAAGGGCTTTTCAAGACATTGCTGTAGTATTTAATCATGTCGCCAGTCTCCTTCTGAGATAAAATAGCAGTGTCGTAAACTACAGTAGCAAACTCCTTTTGTGACATTAAAGGAAACCGAATTGCTTTCACGATTTCCTCTCCAAGAATTCGTCGTCTCTTCGTATTTCCATCAGGCGTAATCCTCTGCCGTTCCCCTTCCTTTATGGCCCAGCGATCAACGGCTTTGAACAGTTCCACTTCCTTCACGCGCAGCACTTCTCTCTTCACAACAGATTCAACAACACATCAGAGATGATTGTTTACCAGTTTATTTCCTTAGCAGGCTTGGTACTTTTTGGCTGGAACAACCATGTAGTAACAAATGCTGTACCCAGTTTCGAAAAACTTACTGAATCAGGATATTGATAACAACTAAGCGTAGGCATTTCAGTTGAAAATAAAAGCTGGAAATTGACCAGATGTTGCTGATGTGCCTTTGCCTCTAACACTTGGTGCACTGAAAGTAAATCGTACTCCTTCTGCTTCAACAGACTTTCGCCCATCCTTTCAGTACCACGACACAGGACCCTCGATAAGTGACTCTAACGCATACTGCTTATTTGCTTCCAAGAAAACCGGATTATCAAAGAAAACATCGAGGGCATGATAGTTATTGTTTTCGTCCCTTTTTGAAGTGAATTTATCTGATCGTTTGGCTTCAGTAATGTCGGTAACGGTATCTCTGACCTTAGTGAAGACTGTGTACTCGCCACCTGGGGAACCAAAACACTGAATTCCAAGCAACTTAATGGGCTTATAAACGGAGAAGCAAACGATGTCAGGCAAGCCCCTGCTGTAATGCCAACCTTTACCTGGCTTGTAATCATTATCAAATCTGTTGACTCAAAACACCTTTCTTGCTCCTTGCGAAAATGGTAAGGGGGTTTTCAAGACATTCTTGTAGTATTTGATCTTGTCGCTAGTCTCTCTTCGAGATAAAATAGCAGTGTCGTAAACTACAGTAGCAAACTCCGTTTGTGACATTAAAGGAAAGCGAATTCCTTTCACGATCTCTTCGCCAAGAATTCGTCTCTTCGTCTCTCCATCAGGTGTGATCCCCTGCCGATCTCCTTCTTTGGTGGCCCAGCGATCAACAGCTTTGAACAGTTCCACTTCCTTCACGTTCAACGCTTCTCTCTTCACAACAGATTAAACAATAGATCGTTCAACTGTGACAAATTCGTCTGACGTCACGGCTTCCTCAGTGTGCTTAATTCTCAATCACCTTCCAGCATCGATCTTCCAAATCTTTATCTTCAAAATTCTGAGCGTGCGGCAGAATGCTCAATACGTTTGCGGCTGTCAAATTGTCGCGGAGATGTTCTGTGCATTTCTCAGCGAGCGAAGGCACCATGTACTTGTTCGCCAAGTACATGACTTGCATCACATTACTTCCGCTTAAAGTCACTTCGTCACTGTAGAAGAAACGAAACAACACGAAGAGACCCTCGTAATCACAGTCAAGCAGTTCGATAGAGTCTTTACATTTAGTCTTCGCCGTTTGACCATAGAACATGGCAAAGAACAGAGGACTACTAATTGGGAGCTCAAACTTGTGCGCTGGGATCACTTTCGTAGTTTTACTCTCTTCACTCGACATAGGAACAACAAATTTCACGTCACTGAGCAGCTCATTATTGAAAATAAAGGCGGTTCTCCCGACGAGAGTTGGGAGTTTCGTTTGCCAGTTTACTTCAGCTGCCATTGCTATGTTCCAGTCTCGGTATTCTCTGCCGATGTTCTTTTCTCTCACAGTGAGTAAAGACTCAACACCCAGCGAAAGCGCTAGATTTCCTCCAGCCCTCTAAAATAGTACCGCTGAACTCACTGCAGACTCCTCCCATCACGCAATGGCCTGTTATGTGAGATACCGTTATGTAATCTATTCTTGGGATTAGCGAGATAAAATACGAGTTAAAATTGAAAAAAGGTTTTAAAGTTGTACACAAGGTTTTAAAGTTGAAGTGAATGCATAGCGAATACTGAGATTTTTTTTCTTTTTTTTTTTTAGCCAAAGCTATGAGGTTAGGTAGTATTTTGAAACAAATACATGCAGTTATAACGGGAATTTCTGTCAAATTGCTGAGCAATGCCTCAGTTAATGATATGAAACAAGAGATCCATCGAAAATTGTTTACTCCAAGTTTGAAGTGTTTGAAACTTAATCTATGCTTCGGTTGTCAGTTTATCAACTGACAACCGATGACATGTAATTGGTGAATTCGCAACTGACTTGTCAAGATTAATCAGAGATTTCAAGGTCAAGTTTTGTGTTGTCAAGCGATTTCGCACGTAGTGCCAGTAGTGTTCGTTGATCGTATGACTGGAACTAGGCAGAAATTGTTTTTTGGCAGAGAGTAGGGAAAGGAAACAGCGAGTCGAGAGAGAGAGAGAAAGAGAGAAGATTCGTAGACATCAAAGTCAACAAAGAGCCTGGTTCAAATTGATTGAAGTCTTACACTGTGAAGGAGTTAGTGAGCATAGACACAAAGAATTCAACGAGTCATAGTTCTAGCGGAGCCATGTTAGCTGTCAAAGAGGAGCGCACAGTTATAGGAGGCATTGAATTGGCGANCTCTAACAACAGTATACATATTTCTATATTGGTCTCGATACACATCCATGAGATTTAAAATCTTTTATAATCTCTTGACACTTCCCATGGTATTGTCAATGAATACTTGTATAACAATCAAGAGCTTCTTCAGTTGGCCATCACCTTCTCCATCATCCTGACCTTAACGTCAAAAACTTAAGGCTGAGACGGTCTATAAGTCCTTAAATGACCTCACACCTAATTATTTGTCCTTAAAACTCATTAAGAGGAGTGATGCGATTACTTCTTACAATTTGCGCGATTCTGAAAATAAGCTTGCTATTCCCTTGCCACGTACTAACCTTATAAAAATAGCTTTGGCTATAGTGGTGCAATCCTCTGGAACAGCCTACCCTCAGCTGCTACGCAAGCAACATCTCTAGTTTTCGACAACTTTTAATTAATTCCGACAAGGCATTCATGTAAAACGGGCTTTAATTTAATTTACCTTCTGTAATAGCTAGTAATATTATAAATTAGACTAAAGTACATAGTTTATACATAGTATACATAGTTTTTCGTAATTAGTTGTAGCTTCTATATTAAATTGTTAATGCCTTATGTATTTTACCGTGTATAAATAAAGATGATGATGATGACGATGATGATGACGACTATCACCTGGCTATCGCTTAGGGAAGGGGAGGGGGAGGAGGCGTGGTAAGATTTTGATTGTGTCACGATAAGATTCTACCTGATCATACCAGAAGGTTCTGTACTATTCTTATGATCTTACATTCGATTTTCTGTAGAGTCGCCTAAATACTCCGTTGGAGACGACTGGTTCTCCTCTGTCGCCCAAGGAAACCATGTGATCCCCTCCCTACGCCCCCCTTCTAGGCGATATATAATGACTGGTTCCTTAACGTTGGATTCAACAGTTATTCTGTGAAGAGAATTTAAAAGATGGTCGCTCTTAGAGATTACAGAGTTTGAGAGAAAAAGTTGAAAACGCTCTGCATTTTAGGGAATTTACCAGCGGTAAACCTTGCACTCGATCATTAAATACTATTGTGGATAACTTCTAATTCAAACTAGGAAAAACTGTTGTACCCTTCTGTGATCATTGTTTTTCATGATGATAATGAAAAATCACTTGATAAAAATTGACATGACAGGCCATCTGATGAGCCACTGTGCTCAGAAAATAACTGAGTTTAGGTCTTAAAGCTACCACAGTTAATTCCGTTAGCAGGCTTGGCACATTTTGGTTAAAATAACCAGTAAGAAATACGGAAACTGAATCAGGATACTGATTGCACCTATGCACCTATGCGTAGATATAGATACATATTTCAGGTGAAAATAAAAGCTGGAAATTGACCTAATAGTACCGAAGTGCCATTACTTTCCTCCCCTGTTGAGATGAAAGTAAATTGCACTCCTTCAGCTTCAACAGATATTCGCCCATCCTTTCCGGACCATGACACAGGACCGTTGAGAAGTGACCCTAACTTATACTTCTTATTTGCTTCCAAGCAGACTGGTTTATCGAACAAAACATCAAAGCCATAATAATTATTATTCTCGTCCTTTTCTGAAGCATATGTTCCTGATCGTTTGGTTAAGGTAAAGTCGGTGGCTTTATCTTTGACCTCAGTGGAGACTGTGTACCTGCCACCAGAGGAACCAAAATGCTGAATTCCAAACAACGTAATAGGCTTGCTAACCGAGAAGCAAACAATGTCAGGCAAGCCCAAACTGTAATTCCAATTTGTACCTGGCTTTTGATGCTTGTCAAATCTATTGACTCGAAACACCTTCCTTGAATCCTGCGAAAATGGTAAAGGGCTTTTCAAAACATTGCTGTAGTATTTCATCATGTCGCCAGTCTCCTTCCAAGATAAAATGGCAGTGTCGTAGACTACAGCAACAAACTCCGTTTGTGACATTAACGGAAACCGAATTCCTTTCACGATTTCCTCGCCAAGAATTCGTCTCTTCGTCTCTCCATCAGGTGTGATACCCTGCCGTTCTCCTTCTTTGGTGGCCCAGCGATCGGCCGTATTTGCGCTGAGGACCTTCGCTATCATAGCCTTTAAATCAAATGGGCATTGAGTGTGGATAGTAAACAATGCTTTTCTGTTCTTTTAATGGTGGCGCGAATATTTTTTACATCAGGCAATACTTCTTGTGTTTGACTAAAACCAGTTCAAACACTTGCCAAAGAATGTCAAGTAAGCCACAACTTTCATCGATGTTCGTCGATTAAGACTGAAGTGTACACCCGAGTGAGTCGAACAGTCTTAGCAATCCCGCTTACAAAACAAGAAACACTTTGGAAGCTGTTGTTATAAATTGAAAGGAAATAAAACTAATGTATTTGGGTATTGATGCTAAGGACACATAAAAAGTAGCTATAAGCCGGAGTAGAGTAATTTTACTGTTATCTTATACCTATATTCAATTGCATTTTCCCGTAGTTCCTCGATTAAAATTATTGACTAGCGGTTTAGAAGATTCAAAATTAAATCAATAATCCGCAACAATTGTTTAGGACTTGCATTTGCAAGGAACTGAAAAGCCACAAATGATCAGACGATTTCCAAACACTGTGGAGATAATCTACACAAGCCTTTAATTTTAGGCATCTTAGGCAAAATAGATGCAATGAAGTCAGTGGTAATTGAACCGAACGGAGTGCAATTTAGGGTAGAATATTTTTAATTAATCGACATTTTCGCTTGTTTATGAACTATATGTACGTTTTCTTTCAGTGTTGTTACCACGGAATATGTAGAAGCTAGGAACATCAATTTACCAGGGAGGTAAAAAAGTATATAAAAAGCTATTAACGGGTAATGTAGATAAACACTAAGCGTTGAACGCCACAAAGTAAAAACAAATTTAATTTATTTCCCAGATCGACGTGTATTCAGATGTAAAGATGTAATTAACAAAATATCCAAGTACAAAATATGACAGCAACAAGAACAACGACAAAAAAACCATATGACATAGAAACAACTGACAACTTGTGGCGTAACTAGGTCCGGCAGTAGAATTCGTTAATGAGAGCAAAACGTCGTTGGGAGAAACTAACGAAACGACCGACTTAGTTGCAATCAACTCGCTATCAGAATAGCTCTTATTCCAGATCCGCTGCGCGGTTTAGTTGGACAGCGGTTCCCTGTATTAGCGTAAACGAAAGAGAGGCTCTCGGGTCAAGCAGCTCTGAAGACTACTAGAGGTAGGTAAAAAGTTAAGACGTTGTGAAAGTTTTGGTGAAACATCATGGAAGCTATCAGTGAGACATTCACAACGAAAGTGTGTTCTATCAGTGTCACACGCTAGTTCGATTTTTTGCAAATGACCATGTCTAAATAAGGCAAATGCTTTTATACAAGGAAAATAATTCAAATACTATTCTCAAGTGGATGACTGATACAATTCAAAGGCAAATGCTTTATTGTTTACGTTCCTATAATCTTTACTTGTCTCGTCATCTTGAGCTTTTCTTTCGATGAAATAGCAGACAACGTTTTGCCTACCAAAACAGGGAGGTTGTCTCCCCATCTACCAGTGATGACCATTCTGGACAATCAGGAAGATCAGTGCTTGTACAGGTGCAGTGGTAGTAGTTGTTTTGTTCGCTCTGTTCATTTGTTTACATGCCAAGCTAAGTGCTGCCACTTTTCACGAAAATCGTCTTCTCATTCGTTCTTGATGTAGTTCATAATCCTGTTTAAAAGAAAAGGTACACAGGCATTAAGATTTTGAAATAATTTGTCATCAGGGTAAAAATGCCAAAGTTTAAAAAACATTATGAACTCGCCTTTGAGCTAGTACGGGTTTCGAAGCTGTCGATCAAGCACATCCATCTTTGGCAGTTCCTTTCCGAAAAGAAAGCCACTCCCTCGGCCTTTTTTTTCGTAAAATCAATTAAAAATTACCCACTGACATTTTTACTTTCTCTTTGGCTGATAAAAACGCTGATTTTGGAAATAATTTAACATTTTCGACGGGCATGCTTTTAATTGACTTCGCAAGTCTCGTAATCTTCAGGGAAGCTTGACCCGATAGCCCACGCTTTCGCGTACGCTAAAATAGGGAACCATTGTCCAACTAAACCACGCACGCAGAACTGGAAAAAGAGCTATTATCTAATGAAAACAACGCGCACACTGGAGAGAAATAATTAGCTACCGGTGTTACGTAATTCTTACTTAACCTCACGCGAACGCTTTCAATTGAATAGAAGTAGAACAATACAGCAGTACAGCAGAAAGAGAATGACCAAAATAAAATTAATTCCCAGTTGCTCAACAAAAAATTCTCGTTGCTACTTATAAGGTCATGAAGATAGGAACTATGAAGTTCACTATTTGCTGAGAGCTGGTAGTTTTCACAAAGCTTGGCTATGTCTATGACAGATGAGTTGTGCAGAAGTCCATTCTAAGCGTTCGTAATTTCTCCCCCTTTGCGTACCTTTAATTTTTTCAACCTGCTCTATCTGGGAGGTGGGAGTTNTTATTGAAAATAAAAGCGGTTCTCTGGACGAGAGTTGGAAGTTTTGTTTGCCAGTTTTCATCAGTAGCCATTCCCATGTTCCAGTGTTGGTATTCTTCGCAGTTTTTGTCCCCTCACAGTGAGTAACGACTCAGCACACAGCGATGGTGGTAGTTTACCAGGTTCCCTCTGGAAAAGTAAGTACCGCTGTACTAACTGCAGGCTCCTACGTCACGCAACAGCCTACTATGATCCCTTTGAACTGGTACTCGAATCGCTATTCGAGTACGGTGAACATGAACCGAGCTCGGTTGCCCAGATGCCAAATGTGATCCAAATCTTTTTCCGGTAAGAAAAATAGGAAATACCGAGGGTCACAAACAGGATTTTATCAAATGGAGTAATGCAAGCAAAATGTCTTAGGTGTAAAGCCATCCCTTTGTATAGTAGTAGTAGTAGTAAAACTCTTTTAAAAGTGTCAAGAGCCGTGTAGCTAGGGAAAAATCCCTTACTAATTTGGGGACACTAAAATTCTCACCAATACTTGTGTATTGGTGTAAGTGGCTCTATAGTTCACTGAAGTTGATATTCCTCGCAGTATACGTATTGCATGATTGTGGAATAAAAGTGTTCAACATATAAAGAAGTCTTGACTGTGCTTTGTTTTGTTGTAAAGTACGCAGGAAGCGGCTTGAGCACGAAAGAAGTGTAGGGAGAAACACAAGACGTGGCCGAGTGTTTCTCTCCATTTCTTTATGTGAAAAAAAAATAATAAAAAAATAAAAAAAGCTAGAGAGAAGTCCGGGAAATGGTCGGAGAGGCGGCGTGAGCGGCTTTGGCTCAGCAACGTATTTTGTACTAGTCTGGTACTCTAAGAGAGCACGCTTTTTCAACCATTAACAGCGCGTTTTATATCGGAGCTTTATAATTAATTAGATTTTCAGCGTTCGCGTGTGCCGCAAAAGAACGGAAAAGAGTAAACGAAATGACAGTGTGATGATAAATGCGAGGAATATAACATGAGGCCTTCAGACTTGTTACCTCTCTTCTATACTATGGCCGCCTTGTTCCTTTCTCGCTATTTTAACGCTACTTTGTCAACTTTCTTTGCAACACGTGTTGTGAAATAATAAAAATATTGGGAAGACCACCCTTGAGCACCAACCCTCGTTACTCGAAAGCCAATAAATTTCACAAAAGTCGACTGATTTCCCTCAAATTGCCATTAGTGAGAGCGAATACAAAACACTTACCTGTTCCAAATTCCGCCGCTGCATCGGGCAGAGAGACGTTCGTTTTTGTCATCAATTCTGGCTTCATTCGCTTTGTCGTTAGCATCGTGCCTTACTATGGGATTGAAATATGAAGGCTTTCCAGTCGAATCGGTAGCACCGACACTCTGAGTGCCTCTACCAACTGAATTATGAAGCCGTATCGTCTCGCAATTTGTGTATTTTTGCCGCCCGTCTAAACCATGACTGTGGTTAACAGATAGCCTGTATCAGTTTATATCATTTCTGTAAGAAGGAGTTTGATATTTAGCCGTGAATTTACCTCACAAAATTAGAGCGGAATTTCTTTTAAAGAATCATATTGTAGAAATGGTTGTCGGAAATAAGATGTGAGTTCAGTTTAAAATTGTCATTAATGTCGCCTACACCTGGTCAACATTGGGGGAGGGGTTATCAGATAGGAAGATGGCGAAGGGGGGGAGTGTAAAAAAGTTTGAATTTCAGATTTTTACTCTCTAACGGAAGTAAACGTATTTTCGAATTGGTATTGTAGGGGCCAGTTACACTTGGTGAAATAAACACAGTAACTCGTTTGCGTCCAGATCCTTTGTAGTGTGACAACAATTACAACGATTACATCTCTCCGGTACGAAGTTATTGGACTTGTTACTTCTTCAAAACTGACAAAAACTACCAACAACGCACACGGCGTGGGAAACTGCGCCCTCGATACATGTCAACGAGAGTTTGACTATATGTAAACTTAACGAATCGTACAGGTATTGACACACTTTCAGAAGAGTTATGATCTTTTTTAATCTCTTGACACTTCCCATAGCACTGAAAAGGAGAATCTGTTTAACAATGAAGAACTTATTGTTGACTTGAATGGGTAATCAGTTCCTTTATTCTCGTGATCTTCGTTAGAGAATTTTGGTTTGTCACGAAGAAATTTAACCTGATCTCCGCCTAGGGCTCTGCAATATTTTTATGATCCTCCCCTNTGTGTTGTGCGGGAGGTCGAGGGTTCGAGCCCCGGCCGGACCAATACTCATAGTCTTAAAATAAGTGAGGAGAATTTGCTACCTTTCTATAATCAAGAATTGGGTAGATATTCTAGTCTTCTCGGATAAGGACGAATAAACCGTAAGCCCCGTCTCCTGCAGGGTGGGGGGTAGGAGACGTTAATTTCCCCCGCACGAGATTACTGTGTGATGGAAGTCCTTCCCTGGGTGGGATGGGTGGGTGTTGGCCCTGAAAAGCCCCTATGGGGAGTGGTCAATTAACCAAGGTATGTATGTAGGTACGGACAAATTTCACGTCGCTCAGCAGCTCGTTGTTCAAAAAAAACG